AACCCGTCCGACTTAATTTCTTACACTGTGTGGCACTCACGTGGACAGCATGATAACATGATTTCATGATTTCTCGATTTCTCGATTCTCTTATGTCTGCCCGTGGATATTACTGCATTGCGAGGTGTGAAATATTTTTTTGTTATCCAGCATGTACATACGCTGAAGATACCATGGAGTACTTGTAGAGAGATAGTAGCAATTGATCTTCTCTCTTATGTTTGACCTTTTAGTCATTGTTCATCTCCAATTTACCCCGGATAAACATATCAGGTGACTGCATGCTGACTCATCACTTCCGATTTCCCACCTGGGCCAGCCGCGGGAATCGGATACGGATCGGCTGTGGATTTCGGCAGCGGCAAGAAGAGAAGTCAATCTGCCTAAGGGGGGATTTTGAAGGTAATAAGTAGCTGAAAAAGATAGAAAAATAATGGGATGTATGTAGAAGCTGACAGTACTTTGTCTAGGATATTTCTAATAGTTAATCACCAAGTTCAGGGGCTCTGGGGTTAAAAGTATTGAGATCAGGGCAATTGTAGTAGGCGGGAGAGAGCCGGGAATCCACATTTCCGGGGAAACAAATATCACTCGGGAATGATTCCGCTCTCACTGCCGTGCGGGAATATAAGAAGTGGCTATTGCCGCTGCCACGGGTGTTTGGTCTTTTAATAAGTTGCTGTGCACTTGGGACTTTTTTTAATATTAACATCCAATCTCTCATTTGGAAGTCATTAGCTATGCCTTCTCAAGTGGCGACATGTCTGCGCCTTGCGCGTCAGTTCTCGGCCAATCCAGCCCAGGTAAGTAGCTTGCTCATGGCTCATTTTGAATCGCGAGGATTGACATGCCTTGCCTTTTACCAGCACCAACGTTTCATGGCCCGCGCATTCTCCAGCAGTGTCCGCCGAAGTGAGATCAACAAGGTTTACCCTTCCGCCGAACTAGCTGTCAAGGACATGAAGTCCAACTCGACCCTGCTTGCCGGTGGATTCGGATTGTCTGGTGTACCCGACTCACTGATCAACGCTGTCCTGGAGAACCCCTCAATCACTGGCCTGACCGTGGCCAGTAACAACGCCGGTGTAGACGGAGCTGGTCTCGGTCTGCTCCTCAAGTCCAAGCAGATCAAGAAGATGATTGCTTCTTACGTCGGCGAGAACAAGACCTTCGAGCGCATGTACCTCACTGGTGAGATTGAGTTGGAGCTCACTCCCCAGGGAACTCTTGCTGAACGGTGCCGTTCCGGCGGTGCGGGAATCCCCGCGTTCTACACACCCGCCGCCTTCGGTACCGTGGTGCAGACCGGTGCGGTGCCCCTGCGACACAATGCCGACGGCACAGTCGCCAAGTTCAGTGAGCCGCGTGACACCAAGGTGTTCGATGGCAAGAGTTACGTCATGGAGGAGTCGATCAAGGGTGACTACGCTTTCGTCAAGGCCTGGAAGGCCGACAAGCTTGGTAACTGCCAGTTCCGCTACGCGGCCGCCAACTTCAACGGTGCCATGGGCCGTAACGCCAAGATGACCATCGTCGAAGCTGAGCACATCGTCGAGCCCGGCGAGATCGATCCCGCTGCCGTCCACCTCCCCGGTATCTACGTCAAGCGTGTCATCCAAAGCACCACCCCCAAGCAGATCGAGAAGTTCACCTTCGCCAAGGAGGAGGGCGCTGACACCTCTGCTCTCGGCAAGGGTGATACCGCCAACAAGCGCGAGCGTATCGTCCGCCGTGCCGCTAAGGAGTTCAAGAACGGCATGTACGCTAACCTCGGTATTGGTATGCCCATGCTTGCTCCCAGCTTCGTCGACCCCTCCGTCGAGGTGACCCTGCAGTCTGAGAATGGTATTCTCGGTCTCGGTCCTTACCCCAAGCAGGGTCAGGAGGATGCCGATCTCATCAACGCCGGCAAGGAGACTGTCACTCTCAAGCCCGGTGCCAGCTGCTTCGGCAGCGACGAGTCCTTTGGCATGATCCGCTCCGGCCGTATCGACCTGACCATCCTCGGTGCCATGCAGGTCAGTGCCAAGGGTGACTTGGCCAACTGTACGTTTTTCCCCCGCTTCCTCCGTTTTATGCATATAACTAACATTCTACTCGCAGGGATGCTCCCCGGTAAGATCAAGGGCTTCGGCGGTGCCATGGACTTGGTCTCCAACCCATCCGCCACCAAGGTCGTCGTGACCATGGAACACACCGACAAGAAGGGTAACGCCAAGATTGTCAAGAACTGCGAGTTCCCTCTGACTGGACCCGCCTGTGTCAGCCGTATCATCACTGACCTCTGCGTTTTCGACGTTGACTTCTCCCACGGTCTGACTCTTATTGAGATTGCCGACGGTGTCACTGTCGAGGAGGTCCAGGCTAAGACCGATGCTCCCTTCAAGGTCGCCGATGACCTGAAGCCCATGCTTTAAATTTGCATGCAAATTCTATGATTCTTCAAGCGTTTTGTATATAGCAATTAGGAGTTAGATTGTTTCAAAATTCATTCCCATGGACATATCCTGGATATGCATCAAGAAGAACATTTCTCTGAACAAATCTCGTACATTTTGAGTAGAAAATATAGTAGGTATACAATAAACAAAAAAAAGGAGAAAAGGTATTGGTACAAGTCATGCAACCCATCAAATAAAACCCCATAATGCTGACCCAAATCCAGTGAGACAATGATAAATCAAGTTTCCCCAAGATTTCCACGTCAAAAAATCAAAAGTCTATACATACAGCAAAAACAGAAGCATCACGTCAAGCGGATAATACCGGCCAGCCTCTTCTTTAACCGGCCAAACCAATCGCGGTTTGGCGCCTCCGCAAACTCACGCACGACATTGTCATAGTGATCTGGGTTACTGGCTGGCCGGCGCAGCTTCTCTGGCATGGGATATTTGCGCGCGTAGCGGTTGTTCAGTAGCGATTCAAGTGCATTCACGGAGGACTCGGAGATTGCTTGACTGGACTTGTCTGTTGGCTGGAGACGAGACTCAATGTAGGATTGGACGGAGACCGAGGCTGGGCGGACTGCATCCGAGGGCCAATGCTTGAGGAGGTGTGTGAGGCGGCTTTGGAGGGAGCGCGGGCTTAGGGTCTGGATAGTTTGTTAGGAGATTGTTTTGGGATTGAATGTTGAGGGAGGTTTGTCGATTGTGTTGTATGGAATAATGTGAATGTTGGGTAAGATACTCACAGGTGTTTTAGCCATGGTGGATTAGAGATATCACAAGATAACTGTGGTATAGGGGAAGGATCTTCCTTGGAAAGTTGAGGCGAAGACGGGAACAGTCTATTTTGGCCTGGCGCATCAGGCATCATCAGCCACATCCATTCCTGTTGCCTTCTTCATCAACCCCGACATTTTCCCATCCCCTTGTACTCTTGTTATATCATTTTTGCTTTCCAACCTAAGTTGTTTCTGTCTCATTTTCCTTTCTGATTCTATTCAGGGTCGCTTCCCGCTCAGCTCGCCATGAGCTCGCAGCGCTATTCACGGGTACGCAATCCCCCGCTGATCCCCTATCAGAACAGGCCCGCCCCGGATGGGATCCCTCGACAAGACACTGACCACTATATGTATAGGTGAATGCCCAAGATGAAGAGGAAGGAACACATTCCTATCCGTTGAACACGCGACCCGAACACAGCAACTCTTCGCCTTCATCTTTCCGTTCCGGGTCCCGCTCGTCGTCACCATCGGCGAGGCGGCTATTTCACGACGATCCACAACATAACGATGACGATCAGACACTGGCCGATGCCTTTGGCGACGAAGACGAGTCCGATAATGATAATGAGCCGGATGACAGACAGCGCTTGATGCGAGCTGACCCCGACTTCCGGGCTCCCCCGGATAACGGTCATACCGCCACGGCGTCCTCGTCGGAGTCGAGGATCGATGTACAGGATCCGACTCAACCGGGGCTTCTCAGACGGCCGACGATTTTACCAAGTTTCACAACACCGGCTTCTGGAGCAAGTCGGCAGATCGCCTCATCGAACGATGGAGTCTTTGCCAATCTTGCCGCCAAGCCGGAACGGGGCGAGAAGAATGATGATCTTCCTCCTGTAAGTTGATATTTGAGAGTTTTGTGATATACCTGAAAGACTTGTGTACTGATGTGTTATTTAGTCATACGAAGAAGCCGCCGCTGATGCGACACCGCCATACTGGGAAACCACGATTGTGGCTCCAGGTATCTCGTCCGACGAGGTCTATGTCGATGGACTGCCTGTTGGATCTGTTTTCTCATTTGTCTGGAATGCCATGATCTCAATGTCATTCCAGCTTGTTGGCTTCTTGCTGACCTACCTCCTCCACACCACCCATGCCGCAAAGAACGGCAGCCGAGCGGGTCTCGGTCTTACTCTTGTTCAATACGGCTTCTACATGAAAGGCGGCAGCGACAGTTCGAGCTCCGACCCTGGAAGCTCTGAATATGTTCCTCCGCCTGACCCCAACAGCCACAACTTCGACCCTAACTCGGTTAATGAGGGCGGGAGCAGCGGAGGAAGCGGCGCCATATCTGGCATCACCACCAGTGAATGGATCTCATACATTCTCATGATTGTTGGTTGGTTCATTTTGATCCGTGCGGTCAGTGACTTCCTGCGGGCACGACGTCATGAACAGCTTGTGTTGCAGAGCCCGGATCGTGGTCTGGGTGTACCGGTCATTGCGGAAGGTGAACGGTCCGAGACTGTTGTCTAATATTGGGTATACATGGGATTTTCACTCTTTTTTTTTCGGGGCCTGGATATGGACATGGAAATGTCTGGCGTTGTAGCATGGAGTTTCTTTTTGTATCGACACCCCCCAGGAGTACTGCCTCCGGATTGCATTCCTTCGATTTTTCTTTTTCTTTTCCTTTTTTTTTTCAGATCATTCTACTTCTACTTTTATTTCCGGCTGTGTAGCTATTCTGAAGATACCAAATATATGAACAATGAACAACAATAGCAGCTGGCATATTTATGTACAACATAGTAAGGAGCTCAATACGCTAAGTTGAGTCTTCCAGAATGCCGCTTACCATATCAGCAGCTTCTACAACCACCGCCACAGTTTCCTCCTCTAATATTCCCTGTATACTCAAAGCCCTCAGCCTCTTCCCCCACAATATCCACCGCTCCCGCGTCAGCCCACCTCTCAGCCACAGCTCCGTCTTATCATCTACGCGGCACGCAAAGAGAACCCATATAGGATGCACGTTCCCTTTACCTTTAGTTGCTTTCAGAGTCGCAGCTGAGAATACGCAGAAACGGAGAACGTACTCTCCGTCACTGCTACTTAACGTACTAATAGTATAGTTACCCCAGAACCACGCACACCGTCCCAGTCGCGTCAGGCCTCGGGGATATCATGCACGTCGCGCCACTGCGCGCTGAACCGCAGCAGTGTGTGTGCTAATGTAGTCTTCCGTCGGCTTCGATCTAGCTGCTGATATTGGATTTTGCGCGTATGTTAAGCTGCATGTAGGGCATTGAGAGGGTAAGGCGGGGGTCGTGTGAAGTTGAAGAGGTGGCGACGGCTGTGAAAAGGGCGTCCCTGAGCTCCCAAGGCGTATGGGCCGGGTCTGACAAGGTAGCTACGGAGTTGATAAGATTGGCAGATGTCTCGGCTGGTATTGACGTCGGGGAATGGTTTCTAGGGGTGAGAAGGACTGGGATTGACCTAGAGAAGGGGTTTGGGAGGTTGCTGCCCGGGATATCCAATATAGATGCCATTGTAGATGAGGTGGAGGTTAGTGGAAATGGCGCAGGTCCTTGTTGAATTTCTCTCAGTCATGGATGTCTTTTAGGCGTTCGGCGACCATTTCTGGGCCAAACAGCCGGTTATTTTCGGTATCAATTGCAGTGAATTTGGATTCTACCAACAATATTGCAAGCAGAATGTTGGAAGTTGTAGGGAATCCCAACGTAATCAAGGCCCAACCTTGGAAGGATGCCGCGTACTGCGCCACAATAGGCAGCATTATATCCTTGTTCCTTGTCCTTGCGTCTCTTTATGTCTTGCCTGTGCAACTTCACCCCACTGATGAACAGAAATCAGTAAAACGAACAGAAGAGAATTCAGAATTAAACCAGGCGCCCTTCCGGCGGAAGGACCACCTCCGCCCATTACCGAGAGCCCCATTGTTTATTTACCAACTTCAACTCAACATAACCTCAGCCTTTCAATTATTTACCTGTGTTTCTTGTCGGGGTGGATCGCGGCCTTGTCCGCAATGTCTACCATTCCTCAAACCCCCGTCGAGGCACGATCACTGTCGTCGGTCACCAATATCGCATCAAATCCCCCCGCCTACCCGCGAAATCCTACCCATGAGAAGCACGAACCACTCTCTCTCTACATTGTGCGCGTACCAGGAAGCAAAGGTATGAATCAATTCCACAATATTGACATTTCGCTCTCTGTCTTTCGCTCTTGAAAGTCCTATACTTGCGCATCATCGTGCTTTGACAACCAAACGAAGGTAAATCATAACTGACCACTATTTTAATATGCAGACATTTTCCTCTCACCTCTCAAACCACCGACGAAATCCAGTGTCTCCGCTGAGGCTATCAACGCCTCTCTTTACTACCTCCATGTCGCGACTCCCGACGATGATACCCTGCTCAAGGAAGTGGAGGAAGAGCGCCAAGAGCAGGCCCAATTACGCAAGGAGCGCCTCGAGAAAGCGGACGCCGATGACCCAGCACAACGCGAGTTCGTGCGGTTGAACAATGTGCGCCGGAAACCAGTTGGTGGAGGAGGAGGGGACCCCAAACCCGAGCCTTTGCCGGCACCGCCTCAACAGGATGCCACTGCTCCCCCCCGCCTTGCCTTCACGTCCAATCCCTGTGCTGCAGGATGATATTGCTTCTCCGGCCTTACCGCCACGTCCAATTTTAGTGTCGCAGGATTCCACTGCTTCTCCGACCTTGCCACCACGGCCAATCCATATGCCGCAGGTTACTGCGGAGAATGTATCTTTTTCTGGGACTCCAGTCGCCAACATACAGCCTCCTTTGAATAATAACATCCCTGGAGGAGTATCGGTAGAATCGGGTGGTAAGAGCGGTGCGCCGCAGCGACCTTTGCCCCCCTTACCGCCTGGTGAAGAGCCATGGGCCAATTCCGCAACAGGCGAAGACCCGTCTAAAAGGACATCCCGATGGAGCGCATTTACCGAACAATTGCAAACCCGGGGAGAAAACTGGAAGGAGAAGTATGAGGCAAAGTACGAGGCACTGTCGGCTGGCCGTCATAGCCTTGACTCTTCTAGACCGCATTTTCGGCCACGTTCTTCGCATAACCGTACCGAATCGCCATTAGGAAGCCCGAGGCAATCTCCTAACCGGCATAGAAACGCACATGGCAACCCTCCTAGCAATGCTGGCTTTCATATCACGCTCATTCGACGTGATCCCACCTCTGGTACACAATGGAATGTGGCAACTATATCAACCCCCCGAATGGACCGCAACACCGTCGATATCGAGATCTCCACGCCGGGATATAATAGGTTCGCGGGCTCAAATGAAATGCCTTCATTATCCAGCGTTGCAGGTAATATCCCGACGGGAATTGGACGCCTACCCACCTCTGCCATTGCCCAGTCCTTAGCCACCGAGCAACAAAAGCAGCAGCCAACCGGCCCACGCAAGTTCCACCGCCAACTCTGCGTATCAAAGCCATTCGACGATTCTGTTGCCGCAGATGGCAGCAACAGCCACACCCCAGATGTCCTATCCAAACTGAAAAGCGGTTATTACGTCTTCACTTCTCCTTGGAATGGCACATGTACCTTTACAAACAGCGTGAACGGCCGAAGTCTCAAATGCAAACACATGATTCCAACACCCGGCGGCTTCGTTCCCCCCAACGGCGAAGCAGAAGCACCCCCCTGCCGTAACTGTGGCCGAGCTCCGTTTCAACACTCCCTTCCAAGCAGCAAATCTCCACTCGCACGTCCACCATGCAACCCACAAACCCCATCCAAACCACCTGTCCCCCTTCACGCAAAGCCAAATCCAAACCCAATCCCTCCCCCGCCTGAACGACAACCCAAACGACAACAACAACTACGATGGAGGACCACTCGAACCATCCTCCTCTAACAACAGCTACACATCTACAAAGCGCAACTCCCTCTCCCAACTCCTAAACCCAAACACCTATTCCCGGCCGCGGGCGCACACAGGCCCAGGCTCACATCCACCAACTCTCCCCGCCTCAACGCCCACGGCCTCGCGCGCAAATATGAGCCCCTCAACTCTCCTCCGCAAAACCTCTATGCGCGCGCAACGTTTCGCGCGCCAGAGCCAGTTCCACCCAGTTTCCCACCACCGCAGTACGAGTAATAGTAGTGGTGGGGATTTGGATCATGATTCTGATGAGGATCGCTTGGATTTCTCGCTTGCTAGGGAGCCTGCTGGTGGTGGATTAAGGGGGAAGAGTGCGAAACTGGGCAAGTTGGTTATTGAAGATGAGGGGATTAAAATGCTTGATCTGGTTGTTGCGGCTTGCATGGCTGTTTGGTGGAGAGGGTATTATTATTGAGATATATTGATCTTACCTAGTTTTAGTCTTAGCCTTTGTCTTTGTCTTGGTCTTGGTCTTGGTATCAAAAAAATCCTGGCTTAGTTTGTGAGGCTTGTGTCTACTATATAGTCGGTTACTTTTGCGATAACATCGTATATGAATACATGAATTTAATTTCTTCTCTTCTGGTTCTTTTCTTTATCCTTGTGTATGTTTCCTCTAGTCTAGTTATCCCTTTGTCGTGTATGCCTTGATGCTATTTCCAACGCTTGCAATCAATATATTTTAAGAAGATTCTCATGGCTCACGCAGTATCACTAAATCGGCCCACTCATTCGTGCCATGTACTTCTGCACCAGCACTGGTAGAGGTATCTGTCAAAGATACAGCATGACCTCCTGCATGTAGTTCAACCTTAGAAAGTGCTGGTATATCAAGGTTGAACTTCTCTAGTTTTGCTCTTGATAGTCAATTAAAACCTTCACAGATAGTTAACAATGTACGATATAACTCAACTTTTACAATAAATCCACCTACGACCCGTACAAGAAGATCATATATCTAGAAATTCCGGTGGGATGATAGTAAGCACATACTCCGTACAGTGGTGTTCCATGAGTATTTGACCTTGGGTACTTCGGGTCCCACCTTAGGATCTGACCGCCATTCTAGACCGCCTACTGTATTAGTATATTAAATCTCGCGCGTCCTAAACACGCTAGCATATGCGCTGTATATTAACGCGTTTTGAAGAGATTTTCGCACTGTTTTCTTATTCTATATACTAAAACATGCCTCCTATACGTGGGAAAAGAGGCCCAGAGCTTGACTGTCTTACTAGAGCTAAGATCTGTGAACTGCATAGTACCAATGGTTGGGGTGCAACAACTATAAAAAAGAAGCGATTTCCAGATATTCCACGCTCAACTATTCAGTATACTCTTACTCAAGAGTCAAAGCGTCAAAAGCAACAGTCTTTAGCACGCTCAGGGGGCCAAGGAAGCTTACTGAAGACGACCGTGACCATATATATGAGACTATACAACAAAACCCGTCAATCTTAGTCGCAGACCTACTCGCAGAGGTCGATTATAAGGTTAAACGTACCTCAATTTGGCGGCTGACCCATGAAATGGGCCTTCGAAAGTGGCGGAAAATGCAACGGCCTACTTTAACACCTCTATCTGCTGAAAAACGCCTTACTTGGGCGCGAAGATATGAGCACTTCACTTCTGAGGATTGGGCCCGTGTGTATTGGTCTGATGAGTGTACTATTGAACGTGGTATCGGTCAGCGTCGAGAATGGACATTTACCCGTCCAAAGGACCAGCTTTGGGAGCACGAAGAAGAGGGCCATCAAGTCCAAATGATACCAACCCGTGGAAAACAGATTAAACAGATGTTTTGGGCTGCCTTTTCTGGTCTTCCGCGACGCTCTGGTTTAATTCCATTATTTGGTGATCCTCAGTCTCGCCGCGGTGGTGTTTCATCTCGGACTATTGAAGAGCTTTACCGGCGTGTTCTTCCAATACTTCTTAATAGTATTGATCAAGATGCTATTTTTCAACAAGATAACGCACCGGTACACACTGCCTATATCATTCAGGGGACTCTTAATGAGCTTGGATGTGATATTATGGAGTGGCCTCCCTATTCGCCCGATTTGAATCCAATTGAGAACCTATGGGCGCTCCTAAAGGCCGAAATACTGAAGCGACACCCTGAGCTAATACAGCTCCCAAATAACGAAACTACGCTTGATCTACTAGTCGACGCTGCCCAGGAAGCTTGGGAGGGGCTATATATTGAGATGTTTAAGCATCTATCTGATACTATGCCTCATAGAGTTGCTGATGTTATTAAATATGAAGGTTGGCATACTAGCTATTAAATTGGATTGAATTTTCGAGGTTTCTGCCTGGCAATATTAAAAGTGGGCCTACAAAGTGGGCCCACGGCCGAAGTACCCAAGGTCAAATACTCATGGAACACCACTGTACATTGCATAACCCTAAATTGCAGATCCAAAAAATAAAATACAAAAGTGGATTCGTCGCCAACGTCATTCGAAACCCGGCCGTTGGATCTACGCACGTGATTTCGATTCCCCAATAGCGTAAGACCAATCACATTTCATCAAAAGGACCCACATTCGTATAGCCTCGAAATCGAATGTCAAGAAAAAAAAAAAAAAAAAGGTAGCTTCTCTTTGATTGAGCGTGTCATCCTTAGTGCAGGGGCCATGCTAATCTTCTCTGTATATTTTCATTTGACCATATGCCCCGAAGGGCGATGTATGGATTCGTTCAGTTCATTATAACCTCACTTTTCGGTATAAAGTTACCGTCTAGGGACCTTCCCATTTAGGTAGGTGCTTTCGGGTGGCAGGCACGTGGCTTGGCACGTGGCTGGGTTTCTTTGTTTACAACTCTCCAGGTATATCTGGTTCTTAGCAATTAATGGGTGAAGGTAGTTCGGTTATGATAGAGTTGGAAAGAGAGGGGTTAGTAGCTTAGCAAACACCTCATATAGTTATGGTAATGTACAGCCAAATCCTTGTAGGTATCGAGAATAGGTACAAAAGCTAATGGATTTGAATTATGTCTGGTTTAGATGGATCTTTATTGATAGAGACCTGATGAGGGGGAGACTTGATTGGCAATCTATGTATCTAGTGATAAACCTACCTGAGATGCAATGCACAGAGTAATGAAGTATCATATCCAGGATCCCAAACCAACAGCACCTTGAAGCTGTGGAAGTAGTGAAAGGATTCAGAAGGTCATACGAAAAGGAAATAGGGAACGCAGACACAATCCAAAACCTATGAAATTGGGGGAAGAGCAGACCGCAGAACAGATAGAGATGAGAATGTCGAGTTCGAGATAGCGCAGTTAATGAAAAATGGAAAGAAAACCCCATGTAAATCGTCCCAGTCTTTTTTGTTTCTCGGAAGGTATCTCTTGGCTAAATTAGATCAACATGCAGGGCGCGATAGAAGACATTGGATTCAACGCGCCGAACAACCAACAAGTCGAGAAAAAAGGCAGAAAACAAAAGGTATCAACGGTGATGCACGTCCATGCCGCGCTGCAGCGAGGATTCCAAGTCATTAGGGTTGTAACCACCGCCAGCGGTAGCCTCCTGGGGTCGGGGATCCTCGGTCTTCCAAGGACCCTGTTGGTTATCCGGGATGGGGATGTTAGTCTGCTGAGCGATCTGCTGCTGCTGGGCGGCGTGCGCCTGCGATTGCTGGCGGACGGTAGCGCGGAAGCGGATGACCTCGTCGAGAATCATCTTGCGCATGTCGGGGACTTCGTCGACGACCTCGAAGTGGAAGTCGAAGGTCGTGGGACAGTTTGGCTCGTCAGAGGCGTCGTGCCAGATGTGCAGGTAGGGGTGCTCGAGAGCCTCCTCGACAGAGATACGAGACGACGGATCGAATGCCAACATGCGGTCCAACAGGTCCAACGCATCGGGGTTGGCTTGAGGGAACAGCTGCTTGAAGGCGACCTTGGGCATGAAGGGCAGATTGCGCACGTACTCTTGGGCGCGAGGGGAACCAATGCGTGCCAGGGTTTCCTCGTTCGGTGTGCCCAGGTAGTGCAAGATCTGATTCAGCTGGTCAACGTAGTCGCGACCCTTGAAGAAGGGTCGGCCGCCGAGGAGCTCGGCAAGGATGCAGCCCACGGACCATACGTCAACTATAGATGTGGGGTTAGCGGGGACTCTGCTTGGGTGGCAAAATTACGGGGTGGCGTTACGTACTTGCTTTGGTATAGCTTTGGAAGCTCAACATGATCTCCGGCGCACGGTACCATCTGGTTGCGACGTACTCGGTCATGTAGCCTGCATTCTCCTCCGGGTCAATAGAGAAACCACGAGCCAGGCCGAAGTCACAAATCTTGAGCTCGCAGTCGGCATTGACTAGCAGGTTACCGGGTTTGAGATCACGGTGCAGGACGTTGGCCGAGTGGATGTACTTGAGACCACAGAGAATCTGGTAGATGAAGGATTGGAAGTGGGCATCGGTCAACGGCTGACCGGAGCGGATGATAGCAGCGAGATCACATTCCATCAACTCTGCAGGATTATCAGTCCAGCTCTATCCGATATAAAACAGCAGAGCAGCACCTACCCTCATAGAGATATGTTTCGTTAAAGTTGTCCGGTCGGGGAATATCCATATCGTACAGGCATGTGATCTGGAGGGCTGAGTTAGCGGGTACTAAGGTATTGATAAGGTTGAGCTGCTGCCTACATTGCGATGGCCACGGAAATGCTGGAGCAGCTTGATCTCTCGCAAAGCCCGCTTGGCTAGGATCTTCTTGCTGAAGACATTGGTGACCTTCTTGACGGCGACGCCCTCGCCGGTCTGCACGTTGGTTGCAGCGCTTAGGACTATCAGCACATGTGTCTCTCCAGTGTCCTCCAGCGTCCACACTTGCTGTCTGAAATACCTACCACACGATGCCGTAGGCTCCCTGACCAAGCTCCTTTGTCACATTGTATTGCTCGCTCACGATAAAGTCCTGGTTGAAAACCTTGAAGACCTTGCGACCTTGTAAATCAGCCATGGCGAGTTGTCGCGTCGTAGAGTCGTAGAATGTTGGAGGGAAGGCAAAGCGACGGAGAAATATGGAATTAACGAGGGTGCAGAGTCTTAAAAAGCAAAAAGAGAGAGGTTGAAGGGGGAAAAAAAGGGTGATGGAGTTGTGAGAAGTGTGATGGGATTCAGCCCCGCAGTCCCCGCGGGTGATCCACGTAAAAAAAGTGTTTAGTCCACTCTTTGGGTTGTTTGGAATGAATTTCCATCAAAGAAACACTTTCGAAATTTAACAAAAAGATCAACTAGGGAAGACTTGGAATTCTTGAATACCCAAGGATTGATTTTGTCATGAAAGGGTGAAAGGTGAAATAGAGGGGATTTCTTTGTAGACTATCTGCATGCACCTTACACTACGGAGTACATATTACTATGTAACTACATATGTACCTAGTATCCAGGTATCTGCATACAGCCTCGAAAGAAAGCTACACCAAGAATAAAGCGCATGGCTGAAACCTGTCTTTCGGTGTTTCAGTCAAGTGGGCCGTGTCAATAATGTATTTTGGTATTGCAGCTGTCATATGTCATCCTGCCCCTGTGCATGGCTGCAGAGGCATTGCTAGTCAAAAGTTTCAAATGAGTGTATCCACAACGTGTTTCAGCCTCGTTCAATGTTGAATCCCAACTGAGAACTAGAACCTACACTAGGAATTCATTTAATGTTCACTTCGTACATTAGGTAGATACACATGTAGTATGGCTGTAGGAGTAAAATACAAAAAGAGAGAGAGCAATGGGCCAATTCTGCCACCAGAACCCGCCCCACTGAGATCTTGATGGGCATGACAATCTCAACCCGGAATCATCTCAAGAGAACCTTGCCTTTTTATTTGATCTCATTGAAGAGAAAGACTCCTCAAGTGATCGTTGCCTCTTCCCCGAGCCCAGCTTCATGATTCCTGGTCCCTGATAGTAAACCCGCTCGTCGGGGGTTTGCAAAGGTCGATGAATAACCTCGCCATCAGAGCTAATTGCTGGGCGTCAACCAGTGCATGGTGGTTACGCCCAGAAAGAGGGTGGTTCTCTCCGAAAAGCACCAGAAACGCTGTAGGCAGGTTTAGAGGAAATCGCCCCCCATCATGACAGGTGGTACCAATGACCGCCTTGACGTTGTCGCGGAACTCGTTGAGGACCAAACAGACATTCTCATCCCCGGGGAGAACATCGTCAAACCCTTCTTGCTCCAGCCAGTCCCTCAAAAAGGACAGGTCGAAGCACCACAACGCCCAAGATAGGAATATGGTTTTGTTGGAAATACCGGCTTGTTGGAGTTTCCTGACTACCTCATTTGCATCAAGCTTCCCATCTTGCGTAAAATAGGCTCCGACCTTCTTTTCGAACACCCGTTGTTGTGGATTTAACGGGACAGCAAAGAGCGAGGAGGAAGGTACGATAATTCCCTCGCTATATTTAGTAAGACAGTCGAGGACTTTCGCTTCTTCCAGATCTGCGAGGCCGATTTGGAGGACCTCCTTAGTCTTGAAAGTAAATTCCAGGTCGATACTCACCACCTCGGAAGCCGGGACATTGCCTTTTTTCTTGGATTCCACTTTCCTTATGACTTCGGCCATTATCCTCGTCTGGGGGTACCACTGCACAGACGCCGCTTTTGCGAACAAACTCCTAAGCGCCTTCAGTTCTTCTTTGCCGGGGGGCCTGGCGTCCAGGTAAGAAAGTGCTTCTTGCAGAATTTGGAGCCCTCCCACGGAGAATTGATGCAGTGCTTATTGTCGCAAAATCCCTGTCTAGCATTTGCTTCCAGAGAATGACGCCTCAAAAACCCATTGAAGATAAACCTCCCATTGCAAGGTGCGCATCGGGTTTTGAGCCCAATATAATCCTTCGAGTGTTTTCTGAAAAACACACCTGTCTCGAAGGAGATTATCGCGCTATGTGGGCACACCTGTGTACCAAGCACTAATCCGTCAACGACTCTTCCCGGCCCTGGGCACTTGAGGCCGAGGTGGTACAAGCCTTGAGATTTGGCAGCTAAAGTACGGGAATTAGCAATGGGGCTTGAAGCAGCAATATCTTGTATGCCTGACCTTGTCTGAGAATGTTTTAGTTTTTTGACGGACTGCCCAGCCATGCAACTGCCAACTCTACAGTCGGTTCGCCATCTTTCGACTCCTCGGCTTCGTCGTCGGATTCTCTCTCCGGATCTTCTCCGTCTCCGTCTTCTTCATCATCTGAATACTCAGCTTCGTCTTCGGATTCGTTGCCCCGATATTCGTCTCCAGCTGCTTCAACCGTTGGCAACGGTTGACCCTCGGCTTTGATGTTCTCACCGGAGAGCGATTTCAAGACCTGTTATTCCCTTTAAATGATGCTCATTTGTTCTTTCGTTGTCACGTACCTCCAAAGGCTCGCATTCCCCCTTTTTGAAGTGTCCTCGTTGGACATGTCTGTTGTTGTGAGCTCTGGCAGCAACTTGTCGCTGTCTCCTGCCCTGTATTTGGCTAAGGCACCTAGGATACTGACATACCCACCTGGACTTGGCATAATGCTCATCTGCGTGCTCTTTGGCATCGTAGATTGACGAGAACATTTTGTCACAGCTGAATCGCTCGGCGTACTGACAAGGCCAACGAGCCCTCATATGAATGGCCAAGTAGTGATTTTTTAATTTCGAGGGGTCCAAGTGTGTTCTGCTACAACCTTGGTCTGGGCATACCCACCTGCTGTCCAGAAATATCATCGTTGAGAGCTTGTCCCATCCAGGTATTCTTTCCCCGTCCGCGTCTCTGAGAGGAATGTCTGGCGATGTAGGCCACGCCGCAATGAACGTATCACCTGCCTCAGGGCTGCCATGTACCAGCTTCGAGTGTGCTCTCGCACCGGCTCAGTCAAGGAACATTTTTTTGCAATCTTCCTCATTCGCGCGCGGGCAGGGAGTCTCCCTCTTTGTTGGCTTTTTCTTGTCCCCATGGGCGGCTCTTCCATGGCGTATGGCATTGCTTTGATCGGTGAATTCCATTTTGCACCCTAAATTTTTGGCCAAGGGACACGGCCATTTGGTTCCGTCATGCACATCTGCAGCATGCTTTTCGGCACCGTGACTCGTAGCAAATGTCTTCTCACATTTGAGAACCTTACGCGTGGGCAAGGAAATCCAGGGCTAAGAGTTTTATCCTCAACGCCATGAAATCTCGTTGCGTGAATCTCGGCCGCTTTTTTGGAAGTAAAGGTCTGTTTGCATCCCTCTTTGTCTGCGAAGGGACAGCGCCATCTGACGTTGTTATGCGCCCTCTGCTCATGCAACTTTGCATTCCCTTTCGAAAAAAATGTCTTTTCACAACCGAGATCCTTTGCGCGTGGGCAAGGAAAGCTTAGTCGAGCTTCCTTATCAGCATGGACAGTCTTCGCGTGGTTTTTGGCATTGGCTTGGGAACGAAATGTCATACGGCATCCCTCCTTCTTGGCCAAAGGGCAAGGGATTTTGGCGGCTTGGCCGTGCGTCCTAGCATGTTTGGCTGCATCTGATTTCGAACCACAGGTCTGGGAGCAATTAAATTCCTCTGCGAGCGGGCAGGCCCATTTGATTTGCTTATGAACCCTCTGATCATGCTTTCTTGCATTCCCTTTCGAGGTAAACGTCTGCTTGCATCCAACCTCCTTCGCACTAGGGCATGGCTCGAGCTTTTTTCCGTGCTCCTTATCAGCATGCCTTTTTGCGTTTTTTTTCGAGCCAAACGTCAGTTGACAATCAACCTCATCAGCGCATGGACAGCGCCATTTGTCATCACCATGCACTTTACTGGAATGCCTCTGTGCATTCGTTTTCGAGTAAAACGTCTCTTTGCATCCGAGGTCATCCGTACGTGGGCATGGACAGGGATCTCTTTGGTCGTGCGCACTTTCAGCATGCTGGGTTGCAGCATCTTCCGAGCCAAACCTCCTGCGACAATTGAGATCCCCAACGCGTGGGCAGGGGAAGCGCTGGGCGTGCACCTGTTTACCGTGCCTCTTTGCATCTTTTTCAACGGAAAATGTCTTTTCGCAGCCAAGTTCCTCAGCAAGCGGGCACGGGAATCGCTTCCCTTCCATTGATACGTTGAGTAGGGTTGTTGATGAGGGTGTGTTGAGGTCTTCACAAAGAGAGCGGCAGAACGATGCCTATGAGGTCAAATTGAGACGTTGGTGGGAGTGGGTTGAGGTCTTAGCAAAGCGAGTGGCAGCACGATTCCTATGAGATGTAAAAGATGAATGAGCAAGGATGGAATGTATGGATCTATCTAGCAATCGCAATCCACAACACACAGAGAGGAGAGAAAAAGACCACATCATAGGCAATGCATAAACGGGTGATGCATAAACGGGTGATGAACAAACAGATGATGAACAAACAGCCCTAGACACATTGCCGCGGTAGTCCAAATCCTGGTAGTCCAAATCCTCATCTCAACGGAAGGTGTAATGACGCAGGTGAGATGAAAGATACCAGGGCCGAATGAAGCCAGAACGCGCAAAGAGGATCCCTATAGACTACAATTGATAAAGGTGCCTTAATATAGAAGACGTGGCACAGCGAAATAAGTAACCTCCTGGAAACCCAGACACACGCCATCCCCATCGTTTGTTTTCCATTCGTCATAGAGAACCTACCTTGTCTTAAGAGCGTTGGAATGATTGAAAAAAACCTAAGACATCAATCGGAGATTGTACCTACCCTTATCTGTATGTAGACACAATGTCATCGCTGCGGTTGCCCTTGAGAGGATCTTAGGCCTATAATACTAACGCACTACGCGCGAGAGCAGATATTAGTAGTCGAGATAATAATATTAATGGCGGTTTAGATAGAGATAAAGAAATATGCTAGCTACCTAATGGGCAATATAGTTCTCTCAGGCCAAAGACGTAGGCCAAGGAAAAAGCAAACAGATCAAAGCTTCTTTCCTTGTGGCCACAAATCTACGAAGTCTTCACTATATGAAATTATTGGGTTAATATAAATACTTCTCACACCAGATAAATACAGGAATAGTTGGCTGCTTATGTGGCCTCCGTCCTTGACGACATAAAATTTCAATAATCTGATCTATTTGGAGCAAGATGGTACTGGGGATATCATATGTAAAAACTCTCTGATGTGACTTTTTGGTTCTTTTTTACATGTATTTTATGTGCTCTTTTGGTATCCCCTTGTGTATGTACGAAGACAGTAAAAACATAAACTGTGCAGAGGTCTTCTATATGTATGACTTTCGATTTTGACTTGATATAGGTAGGGTAGATGGAAAAAAGTAGGGCTAATAATTATACGGCGTACTGTGGTGACCAAAAGCGCAGAAATCCAGAAAGATCAGAAAACTAAGGGCAGTAGGCTAGCCTCCGATAGGCACTCCCATTATTAAAGTCATGAAGATGTTTACCCAGAGTGTGTTCGCTTTGATGGTACAGCGTTCTGTGGCTTAACTTAGACCTGAGTTGCGCCACTTACTACATTAGGGATGTATGGTATATATTTAATAAAACCAGTAGAATATCCGCATGTAATTCATTTCACTTTTCGTAAATCGGTAACGAATTTATCCCCTACAGAGTGTTCTCCAGCCGACGCTCCTTGCGCAATGCCCGGAGCTTGAGTCGCGCCTCCTCCAGAGGAACCATGACACCCTTGTTTTGGGTGGCAGGGTCATCACGGTTGCGAATGTTGACGGTGCGTGACTCCTTCTCCTGGGCACCCACAACAAAGATGAAGTTGTACTGGGCCAACTGGCCAGTACGGATCTTCTTCTGCAGGGTGTTGCCACTGACGTCAACGTCCACATTCAACTTGTCGCCCTGCAGGATACGTTGCAGCTCCTCAGCGTAGTCGTTCAGGGCCGGCATCACCGGCACAATTAGGATCTGGCGCGGACTAATCCAGAACGGCCACTTGCCACCAAAGTGCTCGATCAAGATACCCAGGAATCGCTCGAAGCTACCAATAATAGCACGGTGAATAACAACAGGGCGGGCACGGCCGGGGGCAGGTCGTTAGAATTAGGCTCGCGCCCCTTCGCATCCTCCCCAGAGTTCTTCTCCAGATTTTCGTTAGTCTGATACTCCAGCTTGAAGTTCAGCGGAGCCTGGTAGTCCAGCTGGATGGTCGCGCATTGGAATTCACGCTGGAGAGCATCCGCAATGGTGATGTCGATCTTGGGTCCGTAGAAGGCACCGTCACCCTCGTCAATGGTCCAATCATTACCCTTAAACTTGGTCAAGGCCTTCTTAAGCTGGTCCTCCGCGTGGTCCCAGGTCTCCAACGCACCCATATACTTCTCGGGGCGGGTGGACAACTTCAACTTGAAGGTAAAGCCAAACAGGCCATATATGGACTGCAAGAAATCGAACAGACCCTCTACTTCAGACATAATTTGACTCGGAGCGCAGACTATATGAGAATCGTCCTGCTGGAAGCGGATGACTCTGGTCAAGCCGCTTAGAGCACCTGAAGCCTCGTTTCGGTGTAGGACACCGAAGTCTGCAATGCGCATAGGTAGCTCGCGGTAACTACGTTCACGGTGGCCGAACAGGATGAAGTGTCCAGGGCAGTTCATGGGCTTAAGAGCCCACTCACGCTTCTGGACATCCAACTTGAACATATCATCCTTGTAGTGGGCCCAGTGTCCGGAGGTCTTCCAGATACCAACATCGTACATGTTGGGGGTCTGGACCTCCTGATAGCCTCGCTTGCGGTATTCAGTACGCAGAAGAGACTGGATCTGGTTGAAGATCTTGGTTCCGTTGGGGAGGAGGAATGGGCAGCCAGGGGACACCTCATCAAAGAAAAACAGCTCCTGCTCCTTGCCGATTCTCAGGTGGTTCCGCTTCTCAGCTTCCTCCAAGAACTTCAAGTGCTCAGCCATCAGCTTCTTGTCGGGGAAGGCAACACCACGAATACGCTGCAGAGAGTCGTTGGACTGGTCGCCAAGGAAGTAGGCCGATGAGTTCTGGGGGTAATGATTAGTACGTGTCTTCCTCGGTCAATTGGTCGACCAGCCACACTTACCTGCATGATCTTGAAGGTCTTGATTTTGCCGGTGTTCTGAATGTGAGGGCCTCTGCAGAGATCGACAAGGGTACCGCAACGGTAGACGGTGCTACTCTCGCCGGTGACAAGCTTATCAATATAGTGCAGCTTGTATTTGCTGTATGCGAACATCTTCTTGAGGTTCTCTTTGGAAACATCCAAACGGTCGAAGCTTTGCTTCTCCTTGAAGATACGTGCAGCCTTAGTGTCAAGTGCCTTCCAGTCAGACTCCTTGACAACCTGTCTGTTTTCCCATATATATTAGCATTAACGCCATCGTGAATAGTAAGCGATAAGAATAACATACCCGTCGGGCATGGCCATATCGTAGAAGAAACCCTGCGGGGTCGGAGGCCCATGACTCAGCAGTGCATGGTAATGGCACTCACATGCTTCACCCAGCGTGTGCGCACTGGAGTGCCAGAACACCTCACGGGCCTCGGGGTTGCTAAAAGGCACAAGAAGCACATTACAGTCCTTCTCCAGAGGCCGGTTCAAATCCCACAACTCTCCATCAACCTTAGAGATAACAATATCGGCACTTATTTCCTTGGGCACATCACGCAGGAAAGATCCAGGGGTGGTCTCGAAGGCTTTGGCGGGGACCGAGGAGGGGGGTTGCCATCACCAATGTCAAGGGTAACGTTGATCTCTGGGTGGGGACGGGTCTTGGTCTCCTCGAGATGTTGTTGCCAAAGTTCCTCGAAGAGCTTGTTTCGCTCAATCATGAACTCTGGGAGGGTATCGGGGCTTGGCGCCTGCTTGGATTTCGTTTTCGCATCTTTTGGAGGGGCAGAGGCAGCTTCAGAGGCGCTGTTGGCCTGCGCTTCGGCGGCAGGCCGCACAGGCAGATCCTTGGGGGCTTCGGATGCCATTTTGACAGCCCTTGGAGCGATGACACAAGGGAATTGGACTATGAGCAAAAACTCTGATTGCGGTATACTCCGCGTGGAGGGGAAAATGACTCTTCGTGAGGGCGGTGAAACAAAGATCACGTGATGGTACTGCCCTTAGCCGACACTTTACCGCTTCAAGTTTCCACCAAGCGAAAACTTCTCCAGCTTTGTCAAGTCAATCACCCTTATCACCACAAAATGTCTTTCCGTGGTCGTGGTAACGCTTCTGGTGCCAACCGGGGAGGTTTCGGTGGTGGCCGTGGTGGTGAGAATTTTCCAATGTGAATGCGATGTGAGAAGTTAAAAGGAGCTAACGAAATTTTTTTTATTGCAGGTCGCGGAGGCTTCCAGCAGTCATTCGGCCCCCCAGCCCAGGTTCTGGGTAATTATTTTTCTGAGCCTGGCTATAATTGATTCATGTCGCTGATATTCCGATAGAGTTGGGTTCCGTGATGCACTCTTGCGAGGGTGAGATGGTCTGCGAATCGGTCAACCCCAAGATTCCTTACTTCAACGCTCCTATCTACTTGGAGAACAAGGTACGCCAATACTCCACCGAACCAATATGATATAAAAGTCCATGACCTAACTGGTTTTATAGACTCAAATCGGCAAGGTCGACGAAATTCTCGGTCCCATTAACCAGGTCTACTTCACCGTCAAGCCCCAAGACGGTATTGTCGCCACTTCCTTCAAGGCTGGTGACAAGGTCTACATTGGTGGAGATAAGCTGCTTCCTCTCGAGAAGTATGATTCGCTGTTCTACCCATTGTTCTACGTTCTGACTAACTCACCTCTTAGGTTCCTCCCCAAGCCCAAGCCTCCCCCAGGAGCTGCTAAGCCCAAGCGCGCCGGTGGTGGTGCTCCCCGTGGTCGTGGTGGATTCGGTGCTCCCCGTGGTCGCGGTGGATTCGGTGGCCGTGGCGGTGCTCCCCGTGGCCGTGGTGGCTTCGGTGGTGGTCGTGGTGGTGGTCGCGGTGGTGGTTTCGGCGGTAGCGGTGGCTTCTCTCGTGGAGGTGGTCGCGGTGCTCCCCGTGGTGGTGGTGGTTTCCGCGGTCGCGGCTATTGATCAATCCAAATGTACTGTCTCTTTATGGCGTTTTGGGGGATCTGGGAGCTTTTTCAGGAATATCTTTCCGTCTTCTTGTGCATCCTGCGCAATTGCAACTTCACTGGCTGCAGGCTGTAGAATATCACCAGTCAAAAATGTTTCTGTTATTTTTCATTGGATTTTCCAGAACTTGCAATTGCATATTAAACCATAGCAACTCGTTTAGAAATTCGGGGATAATCGGCTCGGACATTTGGTTGGGATGTGGCTAGTGGATGTGGCGCAGCTGCACCGCCTCTGCCTGCCTGCAGTTTGAAATGACGTTGACCGCTCAGCGAATCTGTGCGTCCGTCAACACTCCCAAACAGGATTGACAGCATTTTTATTCTTCTTACCCAATTTTGCCTTTTAGACATCTTATTCAGACAGAGTATCCTTTTGCCATAAATTTTCTTCGAATCTGATATCCATTTGAGCATGTCTCGTCGGACATCGGCCATGGCATCGAGCAATTCCTCCAGCAGTGTCCCACCTTCAGGTGATGGAGGTGCGTCTTAGCTTCCTCTAGGCGTCCATTGGCAATATGGCTGACATTTTCCAGGCCAGGAGAAGCAGAAAATGCTGCTTTCTTCGGATCATGGTCATTTTAGCATGGTGAAGTCAGTCTCGTGCTTCCCGCGCTCCTTTGCCCTCGGCTCAGCCTAACACTCAATAGGGCCATGCATCTTGCTGATCTGATTACTGAAATGAATGGTAAGAGATCGCAGCATCATCATGTTTTGTTTGGATTGACTTGCTAACTATTTATCTTAGGTTTCTGCGGAGGCAAGCTCATATTTCCCAACCGTTTTTCCAATTCGCGACTAATATGTTGAGCAGTCATGTCGGTATTTTCCTCCATGCGCTACTGCCTCGGAGACCCAACTGAATACGGTGCCATCTGGGCCGCCCTCGCATTTATGCCTTTCGGTCTGTTCTTCGACTTTATGGATGGCAAGGTCGCAAGGTGGCGCAAGAAGTCGTCTCTCATGGGGCAAGAACTTGACTCGCTAGCGGACTTGGTAAATGATCCCGGCAATTGACCACAACCGAACTGTTGCTAACTCTCTTATTCCGACTAGATCTCCTTCGGTCTCGCTCCCGCCGCTGCTGCATTCGCTCTTGGTATCCGGACCTCGCTTGATCACGTCTTCCTCACATTCTTCGTTCTCTGCGGTCTGACCCGCCTCGCTCGGTTCAACGTGACTGTAGCCGTGCTGCCCAAGGACCATACTGGCAAATCCAAGTACTTCGAAGGCACGCCTATTCCGACCACTCTGTCAATCGCTTCCCTTATGGCCTACTGGGTCTCTCAAAGCTGGACACACGAGAACATCCCTCTTGGTCTTGTCGCAGAAGGTACCATCTTCGAATTCCACCCCGTGGTCCTGATGTTCGTTCTGCATGGATGCATGATGGTCAGCAAGACGATACACATCCCTAAGCCCTGAGCTCAACCCAAACTTGGCCGCGCATTTAGTCTTGGAAAAAAAATGCCTGTGTCTGTTGTCTCTCTCAACTTGGACAACTGAAAATAAATATGGAGAGGGCCTTCGTTTGTAGACAAGGCATAGCATGATCTCGATGCACTTAAATAAGGATGCTTAATTGAATTTCAATTGCATAGATTGACTCTAGTCATTGTGGCTTATGCGTAGGGGTTGGATTGACTGGCCAAAAATGTTGAAGATGTAGCTTTCGGCAACAGCGCAACCGCTTGTCCTCAATCTTGGGTCTATAAGCAAGTGAGCCATAGATACTCCATCAACTATAACAAAGCGCAAATGCACACGCACACCCAACATTGACTACTTCGGCCCTGTCATGTCTTTATATATATCATATCATAGTGCATGTGAGTGTGGTAAAATGAAGAAATAAAACATAAAACATAAACTATGCGGAGAGAACTGACATATATATATATATAACCCCTGTTAGCTCCTGAAACCCCCACAACCAAAATAGGCCGCTATACTACAGATGCTACCCATGTGATCGATTCATCCACTTCAACGATCAGCGCGGTATCAGCTCCGCTAACCACAGTGCGACCGCGGTCAGTACTCTCGAAAGGAGACGGCAGGTATCAGAAAGCAAGTCCCACATGGCCAACAGTATGTTTGTGCTCAGCATGTCACCCCTATGAACTGATGTTGGAAGATTACTGCCAATTTCTAGTTCCTAGACACCTAGTATATACCTATAAAGTATTCTTGAAGAGTATGACTTCCGTGGAGGGTTTGGCGTAGGGAGTTGTTGTGGTTTACAATATCAACGTATTCAACCCATCGATTTGCAAGTGTTACCTATGTAGGTACCTAGGTATATATTCATTGTCAATATTCATGGGTGTTGGAGGTTGAACCATGGAAATTATTTCTATAATATAGACATACACGCAATATTTACCTCTAGAGATCGTCATAATGACCACTTGGTTAGGTATCAAGGTATCTCTCATAGCGTCCAGGTTTATAAACGAGGAATTCAGTTCAACAACAGACAATCTAAAGTAAAGGCAAGTTTACACAGAAGGCCCTATCACCAGCTCACAAGATCATGTCTAAGCCACCTATTACGGCAGACCAAGCCTATCACGACTACAGCGATGACGATCACCAGACTCCAGGCCCCAAGATGCCCTCAATGCTACGAAGATGGCATGAGACTGAAAGTCAACAACAATAACCCGAACGGCAATGCAGGCCGGCCATATTACAAATGCCACCCATGTGATCGATTCATCTGCTTTGCTGATCAACGCGGGATAAGTCCGGCTAACCCGCTCTGCCAATGCGGCGAGTACACCCGCAGGCAGATATCGGGGACTTCGAAGGAGGTGCAACGTGGGATTCATTATGATTGTGCTCGTGGATGGTGTTGGTTCTATGAGACGGAAGTGGATCAGGATGGTGTCCAGCGACGGGTTCCGGATAGGTCGGTGGGAATATGTGCAAGTTACTCGTATATCTGAGGTCTGAGGCCTGAGGCTTGGGTTTGATGGTATTATTTTGCGGCTCTTTTTCAATCTGGTTCCCAAGGTCGTGTTAATTTAGTAATAACAAGTTTCTTCTTCTTTTTCATTCAGTGTGTATATGTAACATTTAGTATTTGATGTTGATATCGGCTCCCATTATTGTAATCTGGAGTGAGTCGGGTACTCTTGCCACCTTAGGACGATATGCCCAACATGTTTACCAAGTAGACAGGGTCATATCCCTAAGCGAAATGATACTACTCCCTTCCGGGGTAATCATCGAGCCGGCCCTTCCGCATGATCTAGAATATGGCAGATACAATAAAGGTCACAGGCCAAATCAGAATTTTTAGAATTTTAAAATTAGAATGATCTCTCTTGGCCAAGCGCGCAGGGTCTAGACCCAGACGCAAGTTTCACTTTGATATCCGAACTCGAAGACTCTTTACCCACAGTTTAAAGAAACTGAATTGATGTTCTTGTTGAGACATGCAAATAAATACGATTTAAACAAATTACATATGTAAACCGAGCCTTTTCTTTTTCGATTTTGATTCTTGCTGTGTATTCCGTACCCCAGGGGATGCGTTTCTACCTGATTCCTTTGGCAGGTGGAGAATCTAGCTGGTCTAGTGGACGCCACGGGTCCCGGAACATCTGTGTCCAGACGGAAATGCCGGCTGGACAGGTCTAGACATGTGTGCTCGTTGAGGCATTACTATGTACGGAGTACGAGTACGAAGACACAATACAAACCCTGTATTGCCTGTGCATACATATGTACTGTGTTCTTGGAGGCTCTGGGTTAGTAATACTCGGATGTCGGATCTGACCAAAAGGCGAGCAATATGTCTCAGTGTTCGAAGATCGCTCTTCTTTGGGCATTTATTGTTTGCTCTGTGGGCTCCATGGTCATGAGCTCCTCTACAAGACAGAAGGGAATTAGGTCGATGACATTGAATTGGCTATAACTATCGAACGTGGTAGTGTCCCGTGGTAAGATGCCCACCTGGGCAGGCAGTTTTAGTGACCGTTTAAAATGAGGCTTATTATTAAATGGCCTGGTTACAATAGCAATAGAATCTATGTACTCCGTATGGCATCTATGTATGGCCCAGAACGGGTTGCAAGGGACTAGATCTGCAAGGTACAGCGGATACATCATACACAATGGCCATCCGAAGCGCATTTCACCGCATAGTAATTACTAGTAGCCTTATCTCTTTATTCAAATGGGTCTATGGATGTCTCAACAGTCAGTAAAATCGCATATGGTAATGTAGCTAGAGTAAATAACCTCCGATATCTCCAGGGATGTTATATGTACGAGAATAGGTAGTAGGCAATGCTAATAATACCATATTTTGTCATGGAGTCAAGTCACGAATAACACAATTCATACACATTAACCTTGAAAAAGGTCTAAGGTACTCTGTGCAATACACGACATATTAAATGCAAGAAAACAACCCTAATAGGTGCCATTTATAGAACCATTAATAGACTTGCACATCACAGATGGCAGATCTTAAGCCACAATGCCCTATTTTACAGTGTGAAAATCTCGTTATGGGATATACCAACCGTTTTTTTGTGGCTGAAGCAGGGCATTGTTTTGTTACCAAACGGTACGGTGTATCAATGTAGAGAAAGAACAGATCAGAGTAATTTGGTACGATCCACCCGGGAGTGGCCGCTCATTACCCATGGAAATAATTTGGATCGCACATGGAAAAGGGGCATGAACAGGGATAAAGAAGACCTCGGGAAATACCTAGGTACCTGAGGTTGAGTACAGGATGCGATTACTCAAAGTGTATGAAATGCTGGATGTTAATCCTTGGGGTTTCATGTACGGAGTACTCTGTACCGAATCTCAGGGTTCTTAGCGCTTGTATCGAGTATTGAAATTGTCCGTCTGGTGGGAAATGAGCCTGTTCCATAATCAAATGGTATTTGTTTTTTTCTTGGTTTGTTTCAACGGCACAATTCGGCTGCAATTTATCAAATGGAGATCTGAATTTCCCCTCGACAATCAGCCAAGGATGCACTTTGTCAGCCACAAATGACCCTGGCGTATGTTGACCGGTCATTTATACGGAGTACACAGCAGATCAACGGAGGCAGACCCTGAGATGGAAGATGGAACAAAGCGTTAGCCGAAGGCTAAGTGATGCTGTGCGTTGTACAATCTTTGAGGGGTAAAACAAAAAAAAAAGAACCTTGGAAGTCGTCATCAAGGGTCCTTTTCATGTGGCAAGGACGATCTTTCATAAGTTCATGTAAAGTACGGAGTAATACCTCCACAACTTCCATAATACTGGATATTGAATATTGGACGAGATTCACACAGAGACCTCGTCTCATCACCATCACTTGGCCCCCAAAGTAGACTAGCGGCATACCCAAGGACTCCATCTAGCTGCCGTGTCGGACCCAAATAGGAAATTGATCCACCTTGGTCCCCTGGGTTAGTTGGACGGGTGCCTGATTACCTAAATGTATTCCGACGTATCATTGGAGGACTATTTGTTTGTATACCTGATACTGTACCATACAAGGAGCAAACAACATTAAAACCACCCGTGAAAGACCTGCGTTGAAAGTACCCGGTACTCGAGTGTACCAGGGCCCTCCCCCCATAGTCCAAGTACCTCATACCTTCTCCGGGGAACACAGACCCCTTGACAGTCCCTTTCTCAAGGGATCCATTATCCGTCACTTCTCTTCCCTCCTGATCTTTCCATCTCCCTTTTGCACACATTCGTTACCGACAACCCAATTTCTTCGCTCGTTTTACTCCCTTTACTTGGGGATTATCAACTGAACTGCTTCTTACTTCACGGTCGCTCACTCTCTCCCGAATCGTAGGGGGTGAACCTCTACTCGACCACCTACTCCCGAGTACCCGTCAACAGAACGCGAAATCACCTTCGTTTCACTATTTTTTTCCGACCGCAAAACACCTCGACTTCCTTGTTAGATACACCCTGAGTATCTAACTGAATAATTCAGTTCCAACGTGGTGGGCAGTTTGAGAACAAACAACGTCTACCGGCATACATTCAAACAGAAGTTCTTGAGGGTTACGCAGGTCGTCCCCAGTCCTTCATCAATAACACCCCTGTGACTGTGTCCAGCGGTGTTTAGTTTTCACACTGATTTCGAGACTCGACTTTCCTCTCCCCCCAATACATCATGCTTTTCAACACCCAAGGCGCCCTCGCGGTGTCTAGTCTGCTACTGGCAGCCACCTCTGCAGCTGCAAAAGACTTCAAGGTGCTTCCTCGGGGGTCACCATTAGGCACACTCAAGGGCTGCTACTCGAGCATTCCTGGATACGGAAAGTCAACGAGCTGGACATACCAGAGTTCTGGATGGTGTCTGGACCACTGTGCCAAGAACTACGCGACATTTGCTTTGACAGGAGGCTCTGACTGTGTGTGCGGTAATACGATGCCACCAGACAGTGCCAAAGTTTCAAGCGACAAATGCAGCACGTCGTGCAGTGGTTGGCCCGACGATATGTGTATGTCTACATAACCTACCCCAAGTCTCAGAGAATTGACTTACTAACGATCATCTTGAATAGGCGGTGGTTCCGGCTACTACTCTGTCTACACCACAAATTTGGAAGACGATGTGCCCACGTACTCCGACCCCTCGGACACCAAAACCACCACAACCACAACCAAAAGCAGTAGCCATAGCAAAACGACGACGCAAGCTGACGGGACTACCTCGACTACTTCCACCACTGCCGGTGAAATAACAGAGACCGCAACCTCTGAGCCCACCCAAAGCAGTGTCTATGAAAATTTGGATGAAAAGTCCTCGCAGAGCAAGAACACTGCCGCAATTGCGGCCGGAGTTGTCGTCGGAGTGGTTGGATTCGCTGCTCTCTGCGGTGCTATATTCTTCTGGTGGCGATCCAAGCAGAACAAAACCAATGCTGCGGCTGGTGGCACTGGCGGCTATGGCCGTGACTCTGGTCCGCCCTCGATGTCCGATTCTCGGTTCGATGGTGACTACATGGCTCAGCGCCGCCAAAGCAATGGCAGCATCGATGATGACCATGACTTCTCTCGCCGGATCTTGCAGGTAAGCACGCGTAACACCGGATAGCATGGGTTTCGAGCTGACATATGATACAGGTGACGAACCCCGATCGCTAAACCAATACCCATTTTTCGAACCATTCACCCTCCTCTATTTCTTATCTCCACTCGGTATTAGCGAAACCCACGTCATTTCTGCCTCGATCGAACTACTTTATGAGAGCTTCCCCATCCTGTTGTCATTATTTTTCAGTCGGGTTATTCAGCGGAGTTATGATATCCGAACGGCATATGGCATGATCCGAATCGGTGTCCCCAGCTGGTGACCTGATGTCTCTTAGGCCCTGCCTCTGAGTTGCTTCTTTTTTTACCAATACCCTCCGTGTCTACATCTCAGACAACGTTACCCTGCTTCTCGATCAGCACTTCTTGGGGCCTACATTGGGAAATAAACCGCACCACCGGCCTTCTCTGCCGAAGACCCGATCATTGTATCTTGTTCAATTATAGTGAAGTCTCGGTGGATATAGAGACGTTGTGTTCGAAAAGGCGTTTCTTTCTATTTCGGCTCTATCAGTGCTCGACATTTTCCTTTTTTATGAGCAAATCATTCGTTTTATGTGATTTTTTTTTATTACTTTTATCCCCCTCGT